TCACAGCCGGAATACTGCCGACTGCTTCGCTCCTGACAAAGCGCTGATACACCGCTGGATCGAGTAGGATGGTCCTTGTGGCGAGGCTCTCAAAGTGGAAGATACCAAATCAGCTTCAACCCAATGGTGGTGTTTAGGAGAGCATTTATCTATGAGTATATATAGGCTGGCTGACAGATATGAAGTTATTCCTTCGGTGGTAATAAACAACAACAATAATAATAATTGTTACCCTTTGTCATACCACTTATGGGTGAAGTCTTTCCATACTGGATAAGTCGTGCAGATTGCTTGACCATACTCCATCATGCTTGTCAACGTGGGTTGATGACGAGAAGGCTCAAGGCCAGTTTGCTTGATGGTAACTATGACTGAGAATCAAACTAAAGTGGTCTGATTCATATTGCAATGGCCAACCATTGTGCCACCGTTACACTCGTATGCATAAGTTAACAGGGAAAAAAACTATACCGTTTTTGTTACTGTGAATAAAATGACAAAATAACATTGCCACTTTGGTCAACTCGTCGTCTTGAAATTACGGAATGTACAAATCTAAAGTCTTAGGTATAATGGAAAGAAGGGTTTTGCTAATTGGGCGATCTCAGAATGGGTAGCAGGTGGCAATCCTAATCAAATGCCATTTTTCATATTTCATGTGTTTAGGTCTGTTGTAGACAAAAAACGGCCTGCGATGAAACATGTCCTCTATTCCGACATGTGTAAAGAAGCTTATTCGCAGGGTACATTTTCATGATGATTTATTTCACGATAACATATTTACAGGCGAGAGTACGACTCACACGTTTCACAAGGCTATAACTACCGCAGTCCTGGTGGTTTCTAATAGAGTAATATCGAACAGTCTTTGTTGATGGTTTCTCCCATGTAGATCTCCAACAGTCGGCCCCGATGTCGTCCACCTGCAGTTGTTCTTCAGTCCCCAAGGAATCAACCCATTCGCGGGCCTCGCTCCCCCTTATATACCCCTACGGCCACGTCCTGGTAACTTCCAGCACTTGCCCCCGGTAGATTCTATCAGCAAACTCTATCGTCATCTACTTCCCTTCGCTTCGATGGCAAAGGTTATAGTGGTGTCAGTGTTGATGGGTGGAGACAGGTACAGGGTACTTTACGGGGGAAGGTTCGTAAAAGTCGTACTCCTGCGTTGTAAATACTTTATCATGAAATAAATCATCAAGAAATTGGAACCTGCAAAGGAACTTCTTTACACATGTGAGTGTAAGCCTGAGTACAATCTCACGTGTTGTTGCTGTAGAGTATTTTCATTTTACCAGTGGGTCAATGAGATAAGGGGATGGTGATTAAGGTAGTGAGTGATAGGATGGGTGGGTCATTCTTGAGAGCATGAAAAAGTGCGTGAGTGAGGTTGACACAGTGAATGATCAGGTGATTGTGTGAATGATCAGGTAAATATATGACTCATGAGGAGGGAGAGGGAGCATTTATGTAAGTCATAGAGTAAGGGAAGTGGGTGAGTTCATAATGGAGTGAGTGAGTACCAGTTTATTTAGTTGAACAAGGCGAGAACTAAAGCGACCAGGATGAGTCTCATTTGCAAGAGAGACCTGGATCACCCAAATGACCATAGCTAAATAAACACACAGAGTTACAGTAATGAAAGCAAATATAAATAATACAAAACAACTGATGCGTCACATGGGAAATTGACGTAATGGAGTTAAGGGATGATAGAATATTTGAGTAAGGTGCGACACGGGTGTCCTCTGGCCCTTTCACGACTTAACATTTTTTTTGACTACGTAGTTTGAGACGATTTCCATGGATGTACCAGTAGAATCTATATCTGGTATAGATATAATGGGAGGCTGATCGATGCCCCAGTCCGGTCATGGTATGGCTCTCTATTGTTAAACCATATTATGAATGCGGATGATCTGGTGATTACTTCCCACTCTAAGGAGAAGTTGGAGACACTACAGCTAAACATGGAGCATTCTCCTAAATTATGGGCCATTACCATCAGCCTCACAAAAACAAATCACCTCCATGGGTATTTTACATCATCAAAATGCTCCCCTCCCTCAATTCCCCATGTGTTTTGGGGCAGTTGTGGAGAGAGTGGAGATATTTCCGTACTTGGGCAGTGTGCTGATGACCAACTCTGTTTCAGTAGCCGAGGTCTCACTTCGAATCATTCGAGCGGCATTCTATTTTCATCAGCTGCTGAATACTGTGTGGAAGCTACCTGGCATGTCACTCCATACAAACCTTCATGTCTTCTGGACCGCAGTTATGCCCTCCCGTATCTCTCTCGAAAGGAACATCTGCACTGGGTGAAACATTTTGGTTAGCCCACGATCTATCCAGGGCTTAACCGAGACTGGACTTTGTGAGGAGCTCAGATTCCTGGAATATCTGGACAAATGCCCATCTGTGGGCTCCTCCAGCAATCGAGGCTGCGTTGGTTGTGTCATGCAGTCCGGATGCACAGCCACGGCATCCCCAAGCAGCTTCAATTTGGCTGGATAGATGGTGCTAAATGGGCGTGGTACGGGCTAGAGAAGAGATGGACTGATGTGGTACAGAAGGATGTGGAGCTGATTGGACTTATTGATGACTGGTATCAGCAGTGTCACGATCGGCTTCTGTGGAGGAGGTTCATGAAAAGCGCTGCTGGGGAGGTGGAGGCAGTCGCCCTCCAGCAACAGCATAGGGCAGAGGAGCAAGGCTCAAAACAACGAGCAGAGCGCCAAACAACTGACACAAATAAAGTTGGCACAGTGGGGAGCACGGCTGTTGCATCTGCCGATCATTTTCCTCAGTCAATCCATGGCACCTGCGTCTATTTACATGACCTCCTGCCAGCCAGTCTTCGACACTTCACGTGGCCTCAAAATGCACTGAGAATGGCACAAGTGCTGTGGTGATACTCTTTGGTTATATTGGATAAAGTCACGTAGGTAAAAAATAAAATAACAAAAATCACGACGTTTCAGGCCACAACACAAGCGGCCTTCATCAGGTGAAGGGACGAGACTGTCTGGAGGACAGCAAAAGCTTTAAATCTGCTGTGGTGATGTCACCGCCACTTAGGGGTGAACGACGGTTGTTCCGTTGTTGTTGTGCGTGTGTGCACGGACGTATGTACGCCTGTGAGTCTCGTGTATGGAGAGAGAAAGAGAGGCAGCCGTGCGTTGTGCTGGCCTGTGTGCCATTCTGAGCTTCATAGGCGCTGCTCACTAACAGCGCTTGCCCCAACATTCTGGTAAGGCTATACGGCGAATGATTGTCGCTGTTGTGTGTGTGTATGGACGTTCACCCCCCTCCCACCGCCCCCGTGTGTGCAGTTTTAGGGACTCATTACGCCCCCTCCCGACAAGCAGGCCAGCATCCGAACTAAAGGTAAGTGACAATAAAAACAGATTTTTTTTATTCCATTTAAGTAACTTTATGTTTTGCTCACAATACAGTATTTATTACATTGTTGCATGCAAATGTACGATATTTTGTCTTACATATGACTTTGACAATGTTTCCATGTTTTGCTGAACCGTGATAACATCTTTAAAAACTTACAGTATGTGGATTTAAATACAGTACACTATTGTATTCAGACTTATGAACCGTTCGACTTACGGACAGTTCTCAGGAATGGAACCGATAAGTTGTATTATTCGCTAACAGCACCTTCCATTGGTATGGTTGACTACATACAATGCAAAGAAAGTTAAATATAGATACATATATATTGTACAGCACTTTCCCCAATAGTATGTTGATGTTCTATGGGGTATGTTTGTCTTTCTGAGTAATGTTTTAATTGGGGCGGTGTCATTTTCACAATTTCCCCAATGTTTTTACATTGGCCGACTTGCGCTTCAGCAATTTTCGCACCCAATGGATAAATCTCTTCTTCTTCTTCTTGGGCTTGGTGGTGGCAGAAGTGGTGGTGGAAGCTGTGGCAGCGGCGGTGGAAGGGGCATCGGTGGCATCATGGTACATTTGAGACACGGCGCATTTCAATTCTTTCAGCTGGCTACTGAGATGAAGGTTCTCTTCATGCAGCCTCTTTTCCCCATGCCACATGTCCTCGTGACGCACCAGCTTCCCGCGTAGCCTAAACTGTTCCTGGCCTCTCTGCGGATCCAGGAAGTTCAACTCCGTCAGGTGGGCGTGCAGCGACCTCCGGAGATCTTTGTTTTCACAGCGCAGCGACATTTGCCGCTGTGCTGCATTGCAGTCTCGGAGAAAATCCGCATGGAGAGACTTGCTCTCCCTGCAAGGCACTCTCGTGGACTCCAGCTCCAACTGGCACTCTTTAAGCTGTTGAACCAGGCTCCTGTTCTCTCTCTGGAGAGTCTCTCGGTTCTCCATCAACTCCTCCTGCTGCTGCTGTAGCTCCAGACGGAGCATCTTGTTCTTCTGACAGAGCTCCACATTCTGCAGGCTCATCCTCTCCGTAGACAACGTCGTGACCTCATGGTCAAAGTCTGAAATGGAAAGCGTAAAAAGAAGATAAATGAAGATCCCCATCCCAAGCATGGCCAAGACCAGAACGTCAACGATCAGCAGCACCATGCTCAGCTCGTGTTGACGGCACGCGGGACGGAAGGAAGTGTGAGACGCGTCACGAAGGGGCGTGTTATTTATACAAACGTCATTACCGGATGTGACGTACGCTATGACGTAAGCCATCCCTGCCCACTTATTGGCAATCATTGCCCATCACGTGACTCGACAGCCCCGCCCCTAACCGCGCAGCTCCTCCTCCATACTCTTCTTCCGCCTTTCCCACGTGACGCGAAGCGAGCCAATCACGCGAGAGGCGGCGCTCGGTAGGCCCCGCGTCCGCTTCCCGCCATTCTTTCAATGGGCGGCGGCGCGCAGGGGGGGGGCGGTGGGGGCGGGGCCGAGTTCACTCCACGTCGCGAGTCGGGAGGAGGAGGGAGGGGGAGGGGCCAGGAGAGACGAGGGGGAGGGGCCAGGAGGGACGAGGGGCCAGGAGGGACGAGGGGCCAGGAGGGACGAGGGGCCAGGAGCGGGAGGGGGGGTGCCGTGGCGCCGCTCTTGGGCTGCGAGGCCTCCCCCTGGGCCCGCGGCGCCACGCGGAGACCGCGACAGCAGCAGCAGGAGGTGGTGGTGGTGGTGTTTGTGGTTGTAGGCACGGGAGAGGTGGTGGTGGTGTTTGTGGTTGTAGGCACGGGAGAGGTGGTGGTGGTGTTTGTGGTTGTAGGCACGGGAGAGGTGGTGGTGGTGTTTGTGGTTGTAGGCACGGGAGAGGTGGTGGTGGTGTTTGTGGTTGTAGGCACGGGAGAGGTGGTGGTGGTGTTTGTGGTTGTAGGCACGGGAGAGGTGGTGTTTGTGGTTGTAGGCACGGGAGAGGTGGTGGTGGTGTTTGTGGTTGTAGGCACGGGAGAGGTGGTGGTGGTGTTTGTGGTTGTAGGCACGGGAGAGGTGGTGGTGGTGTTTGTGGTTGTAGGCACGGGAGAGGTGGTGGTGGTGTTTGTGGTTGTAGGCACGGGAGAGGTGGTGGTGGTGTTTGTGGTTGTAGGCACGGGAGAGGTGGTGGTGGTGTTTGTGGTTGTAGGCACGGGAGAGGTGGTCACGGACAGGCGGTGAGTGCCGGGTGATGGAGGGGGGGGGTGAGGGAGTGGATTGCAGGGTGAGTGAGTTAATGAGGAGAATTAATAGGTGAGGAGGGTGAGTGAGTTGAAGGGTGAGGTGAGTGAGTGGTGAGTGGTGAGTTCACGACAGGGAGATTGGGGCTGAGTGAGTGAATGCAGCGCACGGTAAAGATCCCCTGAGAGCATTCGCAAGAGTTGGACATTGAGTGCCGCTGTCAGGGTCCACACGCAAATTACTCACTTGGCATGATATACAAATTAACCATTGTAAACGATAATTTTTAAAAAAGTACGCTATTAGTCAGAGCTAATGCGATGTGCGTTCAGCATATTTGTAGCACGTTAACCAACGTCAACATCGTCATTTAGAGTAACCATTAGTCCATACGTGTCACTTGATAATAGTCCCCGGGTCAATCACAACTTTGCCGTGCGTGCAGGCTTTGTCTCTGGCTGCTCGCTAGGGCTGCGATGCCTTTCCATGCCACAAGATGACGTTCATTGCTCCTTCCACACCGCGACAATATTTACTGCAGTGTTCTATAACGCGGCAGTTGCGTTGCTGAATAACACCGCGTTGTGTAAACTCCCTCGTTACAATGACTAATACAGGGTAAAGCACAGTCCGTGATAACAGCGTGAGATGCGTGTGTCGGCTGAACAAAGACCGAGGCGCGTGGGGAGCATCAGGAAGCATCCAGCAGCATCCCAATGCCTCGTGTGACGCTGTGCCCAGGCAGCCGTACAACCGCACATTCCTACTCGCGCGACGTGGTTCTGTTGACTCAATCGCGTTATATCCACTTAGCATCCGTGTCATAAAACGTGTTCCCTAATACATCCATCGTGCTATATCCAAATGGCGTTATGAAAACAGCGTTGAGGCAGAACGAACTCTATAAACTTTTTATTTTACCAGGTGAGACCCCTCTGAGCTATGTGGCTGTTTTTCAGAAGCGACCTTTCCACAAATGTGTGCAGTGGTTAATTTGCTTAACAGCTTTACACCGAACTCCTTGCTTGTGGTTAAACATGTTTGCGACTTTGGTGATTGAGAACTATGCAGATTTAGATTTATAGTAACATGTACTTGGTGTGAGATGAACTTCCAAACAATTTCCTTTGCTCAACATCTTGGAATTAGTTTAACACGTAGGCTTTCGCGACCAATATTATTCATAATAAAGGTTTTTGGGTTAGATCGCGTTTATTTATAAATGTGTCGTAACCCTCCACCACCCGACACGGCCAATCAGCAAAAAAAAAAGTGTCACGTTGACAAAAGACAAATAATTCACTACTTCAGCCCACCGGTGTGTTGAAGAGTTAATCCACATTTACAGTTTGAGTACGACGTTTCGCTGGTAAATACTTCCAGCATCATCGGGCAATTCGCCAGAATGGTAAAGCCCTCGCTTGCTCCCGGTTTTATATAGAGCAGCAGGGTGACGTCATCACTTAACTCATCAGGTGCAGTGATTAGAGGCGGAGGGGGGGGGTAATGTAATTATATAATCGATTAGTAATCAGTCATTGGTTATGATTAGTAATGAGTTGTAGATTAGTAATTCTTTAAATCAAAATGTAATGTGTATTATTTAATAATACGCTTCCAGGCCGCACTAAGCCGGTAGCTGTCAGAGCGATTAAAGTTATTCTTGTTCCTCTCAATTTCAATGGATTCTCTAATTAGTCTTTGCCAGTAATAATTAGTTTTACACACCACTGCAACATTGTCAAAATCAATTGAGTGTCCTTGTTGACAAGCATGTTCTGCCACTGCCGACAGTTGTGTTTGAGATAATTTAATATTTCTCTGATGTTCTTTTAGTCTTACGCTGATGTTACGTCCCGTCTGCCCAATGTAGCAGCTGCCACATGAACAATTAATCCGATATACACCTTCTGTTGATAGTTTAGGTAATGCGTCTTTAGTGCAAGATACTAGTTTTTGAATTTTGTGTACTGTACCAAATCTTACTGTAATGTTTTGCTTTTGCAAAACGCGGGCTAATTTGTCAGTTACTCCTGAGATATATGGAATTTTTATTGTTTTAACAATCTGGTCGCTTTCAGTAGTATTGCTTTGCGATCGTGATTTGGCATTCAGTGCTCTGTTAATTTGAGCATTATTGTAGCCATTCTGTCGTAGTGCGTCTTTAACGTGTTTAATCTCTCTCACTAGACTCTCACCATCTGACACTGTTTTCGCCCGATGTACGAGCGTCTTGATAAGAGAGGATTTTTGAGCTGGATGATGATGTGATTCTGCATTCAGATAGGCATCAGTGTGCGTTTGCTTTCTGTAAACGCTGTGTGTTATTTTACCGTTTAGGCCATGTCCAAGCAAAATATCTAGGAATGGGAGTGTGTTATTCACCTCCATTTCCATGGTGAACTGGATGGCCGGGTTTTGTGCCCGGCCATCCAGTTCACCATGGAAATGGAGGTGAATAACACACTCCCATTCCTAGATATTTTGCTTGGACATGGCCTGAACGGTAAAATAACACACAGCGTTTACAGAAAGCAAACGCACACTGATGCCTATCTGAATGCAGAATCACATCATCATCCAGCTCAAAAATCCTCTCTTATCAAGACGCTCGTACATCGGGCGAAAACAGTGTCAGATGGTGAGAGTCTAGTGAGAGAGATTAAACACGTTAAAGACGCACTACGACAGAATGGCTACAATAATGCTCAAATTAACAGAGCACTGAATGCCAAATCACGATCGCAAAGCAATACTACTGAAAGCGACCAGATTGTTAAAACAATAAAAATTCCATATATCTCAGGAGTAACTGACAAATTAGCCCGCGTTTTGCAAAAGCAAAACATTACAGTAAGATTTGGTACAGTACACAAAATTCAAAAACTAGTATCTTGCACTAAAGACGCATTACCTAAACTATCAACAGAAGGTGTATATCGGATTAATTGTTCATGTGGCAGCTGCTACATTGGGCAGACGGGACGTAACATCAGCGTAAGACCAAAAAGAACATCAGAGAAATATTAAATTATCTCAAACACAACTGTCGGCAGTGGCAGAACATGCTTGTCAACAAGGACACTCAATTGATTTTGACAATGTTGCAGTGGTGTGTAAAACTAATTATTACTGGCAAAGACTAATTAGAGAATCCATTGAAATTGAGAGGAACAAGAATAACTTTAATCGCTCTGACAGCTACCGGCTTAGTGCGGCCTGGAAGCGTATTATTAAATAATACACATTACATTTTGATTTAAAGAATTACTAATCTACAACTCATTACTAATCATAACCAATGACTGATTACTAATCGATTATATAATTACATTACCCCCCCCTCCGCCTCTAATCACTGCACCTGATGAGTTAAGTGATGACGTCACCCTGCTGCTCTATATAAAACCGGGAGCAAGCGAGGGCTTTACCATTCTGGCGAATTGCCCGATGATGCTGGAAGTATTTACCAGCGAAACGTCGTACTCAAACTGTAAATGTGGATTAACTCTTCAACACACCGGTGGGCTGAAGTAGTGAATTATTTGTCTTTTGTCAACGTGACACTTTTTTTTTTGCTGATTGGCCGTGTCGGGTGGTGGAGGGTTACGACACATTTATAAATAAACGCGATCTAACCCAAAAACCTTTATTATGAATCTTGGAATTAATGTCTATTTAAATGGTCAGCTTAAGTGATTCCGTGATGTTTATGTAACTTGACCATTAAGATTATCTATGGAGCACAATTATTTCAGTATTATTTTTCATAAGTAAACTTTAAACTGAACCCATATGTGATATTATATTGCCTGATTATTTTAATTTTTAATGTAGTCTACATGCTCTTCTGGGGATATTACCCCACATTTACCACTCATTGATGTTCCCTTTGACATTGGTAATTGGCATTGTCACACCATAGTAATTCATGGGCAATTATGTAATTCGAGCAGGTATTTTTAGGAAACTCACCCATGGGGGACCATTTTCAAATGTATTGCCTTAATTTAATAATACAAATAATTTATATATAATTTGACAGTTCTTATCATTGTATTGCAGAAACATCTGTGTGTCTCTCTGTGTCGTTCTCTCTGTGTCTATCTCTCTCTGTGTCTCTCTCTTTGGGTGTCTCTCTTTCGGTGTGTGTTTTTCTCTATATGTGTCTCTCTCTTGTGTGTGGCTCTGTGTGTGCCTCTCTCTGTGTGTGGATGTCTCTCGGTGTCTGTGTCTCTCCTTTTCTACGATCCGGTGTTGTATGTATATGCAAATTCCACCTCTTGCTCCGCCCACTTACTCTTGGGTTGAGCTTATCTCAAGCCTATATGACTTCGTGTTTCAGCAGCTTACTCGCTATATTTTTTCACCTGATGATGGTTGCTTGTGTTGCGATCGAAACGTCGTGATCTATTATTTTTTCTACCTACGTGACTTTACAGAAAGAACCAAAGAGTATTGTGATTGTAATTTTTATTGTGATCGTTGTGGTGGAGGTGGTGATATTGATGGTGGTGTTAACGATAGCGGTGATTTCGGTGGTTGTAATGGTGGTATTGATGGTGGTAATGGTGGTTGACTATTACCCCTCTCGTGTCCTTACTTCCACCACCAGGTTTAAGAATCTGCTGGTGTCTGTGCTGGAGGTGGACGTCTGGATATCTGTGCGGTCTGGAGCGGTGGACAATAGACTTCTGCAGCTCAACCAGGTGGACGCACTGGGCAGGGGGCAAGATGGTGGTGGCCTTAGAGACCCACTTACTCCCACAGAGAGCCATAGACTCACTCACAGAGTACACTCACACAGAGAGCCAAAGTCTCACTGACACAGAGCCATAGGCTCACTCACATGGAGACACATAGACTCACTCACACAGAGAACCATTGATTAACTCATTGTTTTTTTCGGTAAAGTCACGTATGTAGAAATACCATAAAATTATATTAAAATAAATCAATCACGACGTTTCGACCGCAACACAAGCGATCTTGTGTTGCAAGATCTTGTGTTGCAAGATCGCTTGTGTTGCGGTCGAAACGTCGTGATTGATTTATTTTAATATAATTTTATGGTATTTCTACATTAGTGACTTTACCGAAAAAAACCAAGAGTAATTTATGCAGTCACGAAAGCTATAATTCTTTATTAACACACTTCTACGGGGAAGTTACCTTTACAATTCTGTACTAAACTAATTGCGCCCCCTTACATTTTCCTGCCCCTCCCTCTTCTGCTGCTGCCGTGCCCCTTGCTTTCTTCGGCCCCTCCCCCCACCTCTACTACTTATTTTAAGCCTCTGTCTGTTCATCCCTCCGGCCCCTTTTTTCTTGCTTCTCTGTCCGTCTTTCCTCTTCTTACCTCTTGTGTCCCTGTATATGTATTTCTGCTATCTTATACCTCGTATTTGTTCACTCTGTCTATGCTGGTATGTTCAACCCAGAGGATGAACACGAAATTTAGCACTCTTCTGAAATTCGTGGTCTGCCAGGCAAGTGTCTAACTGTGTCGTTGGCCGACTGGTATTGCATCACAGTAAATTTTTCTTAGGTTTGTTGAATTCTCGTCTCTCATCTTCTTGTTGTATTTACCTCCGTGCAGTTTAACGCTCTCTATGTGTTGCGTTGATGTCACCATATGTGCTATTTGTTTTTTACACCTGATGAAGATCGCTTGTGTTGCGGTCGAAACGTCGTGATTGATTTATTTTAATATAATTTTATGGTATTTATACATACGTGACTTTACCGAAAAAACCAATGAGTAATTTATGCAGTCACGAAAGCTTTAATTCTTTATTAACTATTGATTAACCCACACAGAGAACCATAGAGTCACTCGCACAGACTCGCACAGAGAGACATAGACTCACTCACGCAGAGAACCATATGCAGTATATCCACGTTTTTTATGTAATGTGTTTTGCTTAGCGCACCCCACACCCACTATAACGCGAGTAGCAGAGTAGCACATGACGGACTGCTCTCATGAGTGGTGTGGGTCTTGGCAGCATTGTTCTGTATTGCTGGGAGCTGATGCTGTACCGGTGCGCGCTGTGTTACGTGGCGTGTCATCCTCTTCCTCAGCCTTTGTTCCAGCATGTGTGTAGTGTCATCTCACTCACTCCCTTATAGTTTTCACTCATCATATCTCCCTTTCACGTCCTTTGTATGTATATTGATGAATGTAACACAATTTTTTATTATTATTTGGCTGCTATAAATTTCCACGTCATAAGCCACTTCATTCAGCTATCATTTGTGGCCAGTTCGCTTCTGATAAAGAAGCTAATAGCTTAGAGGGCTTTACTTGGTAAGATAAAAAATAGTTTATTTTTTGGTCATTTGCTTACCTTTCCTATACTTTGCACTTCGATTGTGTTTTTGCATCGTTTGTTCTTGTAACTTTCTGTACCACCCCAACTGGAAATCTGTGAAAAAGGGCTTTTTAGATTCCTCCAGTATAAATAAAGATTATAATATAGATCTTCTACATATACACAACACATTTAAAATAAACATAGAAAACAGTGTACTGTACTCTCAATTAAAAATAATAATAAAAGTTTGTGCTGAAACGGAGCCTCCCCCTTTACCGTTATTCCTTGTAGAAAAGTTTTCTGCTTCACGTAAAATAGCTTTAAGCAGCAATTTTCGACAACGCAACCCCCACGTTAAGCAAGGATATGTGCACAAGCTTGTGTGCATGTGTGGGTATGCGTATCATTCGGTAATTGTATAGTGTTTCGCGTATTACGCGATGAACTTGACAACACCGGGACCGATGAACTAAACTGGTTTTGGGCTAACCCTAGGTCGACTCAGCCTCCAACGAATACCTGGTGCGGTGTGTAAACATCACTACTCGGGAGATAAAGGCGGCCAGGCATGGTGCTAGCCACCCACCTCATTGTGTACCGTGCTGGCTTTCATAGGTGCTCGCTAAAGCACTTGCCTCAAGAGTCTGTTGAGGTTATACAGACAACCTTTGTCTTTGTGTTTAATGTTTTAATTGGTGGTGGTGTAATTTTAAATGTAATTTTTTTTATGGCCGACTTGCACTACGGCCACTTCTGGACCCAACAAATAAATATGTTCCTCTTCTTGGTGGCAGTGGTGGTGTATATTTATAGAGTGCCTTCTCTCTTGACATAACAAGCACAAGGTGGTGACAGAATGGAATGATTTAGATGGCAGCGGTGTACAAAGATTGAGGAATGAGTGACAGCGATAGACGGTGAAGGGATCAGAGAAGAGTAGGGACGAGAAGGAGTGGAGGCTTAAGGGGAGAGAAGAGGTAGAGAATGGGAAATGGAGAAGAGGTGGGGCTTTATGAGAGGAATGGAAGAAGGTTAAATAGAGGGACCATAAATGAGATGTGGCACAGAGAGAAGGAGGGACAGAGAGAGACAGAGAAGATTGGGAACAAAGAGGATGAGAGAGGACATGGAAGGAGATGAGAGGCAAAATTAGGTAGGGCAAGTCCATGGAGAGGTTTAAAGACCAGCGACAGGTATTTGAAAAGACAGCGGTAGTGAACGAGAAGCCATTGGAGTTGAAGGAGGAGAGGCAAAGTGTGAGAATTAAAGGGGAGATTGAAAATAACTCGTGCAGAAGAATTGTTTAATTTGTTGGGAGGGGAGTGAGGAAACCAAGAAGAAAATTACATTTGTAATTAGAGGTAGCTCTTTACATTATGAGACCTCCTTTGCCAGTAACAAGATATAGGAATAGGTTTTACCCTTTTAACTGGCACAGAAACTGACACCTTTATTCAAGGCATCATGTTTGCAATAACCACAACACAAGCAGTCAAAATGCAAACAAAAAAGACAACTCTGATAATAATATGCACTGTCCTTGAATTTGATTGGTCCACACCCGAGACGGCTTTCTTTAGAGCCTAGTCTCCATTGGTGTTGGACCAGAAGACGCCAAAAGGCATACTTCCGAGACGGCTTTCTTTAGAGCCTAGTCTCCATTGGTGTTGGACCAGAAGACGCCAAAAGGCGTACAACTCAAAAACAGCGCACTATCAGAGTATTGAGGGCTCGGAGTGAGCATTTACATTATGAGACCTCCTTTGCCAGTAACAAGATATAGGAATAGGTTTTACCCTTTTAACTGGCACAAAAACTGACACCTTTATTCAAGGCATCATGTTTGCAATAACCACAACACAAGCAGTCAAAATGCAAACAAAAAAGACAACTCTGATAATAATATGCACTGTCCTTGAATTTGATTGGTCCACACCCGAGACGGCTTTCTTTAGAGCCTAGTCTCCATTGGTGTTGGACCAGAAGACGCCAAAAGGCGTACTTCCGAGACGGCTTTCTTTAGAGCCTAGTCTCCATTGGTGTTGGACCAGAAGACGCCAAAAGGCGTACAACTCAAAAACAGCGCACTATCAGAGTATTGAGGGCTCGGAGTGAGCATTTACATTATGAGACCTCCTTTGCCAGTAACAAGATATAGGAATAGGTTTTACCCTTTTAACTGGCACAAAAACTGACACCTTTATTCAAGGCATCTTTGCAATAACCACAACACAAGCAGTCAAAATGCAAACAGAAAAGACAACTCTGATAATAATATGCACTGTCCTTGAATTTGATTGGTCCACACCCGAGACGGCTTTCTTTAGAGCCTAGTCTCCATTGGTGTTGGACCAGAAGACGCCAAAAGGCGTACTTCCGAGACGGCTTTCTTTAGAGCCTAGTCTCCATTGGTGTTGGACCAGAAGACGCCAAAAGGCGTACAACTCAAAAACAGCGCACTATCAGAGTATTGAGGGCTCGGAGTGAGCATTTACATTATGAGACCTCCTTTGCCAGTAACAAGATATAGGAATAGGTTTTACCCTTTTAACTGGCACAAAAACTGACACCTTTATTCAAGGCATCTTTGCAATAACCACAACACAAGCAGTCAAAATGCAAACAGAAAAGACACCTCTGATAATAATATGCACTGTCCTTGAATTTGATTGGTCCACACCCGAGACGGCTTTCTTTAGAGCCTAGTCTCCATTGGTGTTGGACCAGAAGACGCCAAAAGGGTAAAACCTATTCCTATAGAGGTAGCTCTGTTAGATCCACTTCTATGGGTGACTGTCTAATACATTTGCGGTTCATAAAACAGTGCCCCAACCACTGCGCCACCATTCCCCACGCGAATTTACACACACAGATACAAAGATCCCCCGTGTAGCCCGTATAGCCATAACAGACTGTGTGACCAAGTACTGTGAGCGAGCACATACGGATTGGTGGCCAGCACCACGCCTGGCCACCTTATCTTCAGAATGGCGATGTTTACACACCGCACCAGGTACTCATTTGAGGCTGAGTCGACACACAATAACACAAAGACAAAGATCCCCCATATAGCCTAAACAGACTGTTGCGAATTGCTATTTGCAAGCACCTTTGAAGGCTGGCAAGGCACACGAGGGGGTGGATGGCCAACACCACGCTCGGCCGTGTGTGGCTGAGTCGATACACAGATGTACACACACACGCGTTTACACACAGTATCACGTGTAAATGTCACAGGGACTTTATCACCACAAATAACTCTGTCAGCGCGTGATTTTATATAACAATTTAAAGGATTTCAACTGCACGGCCGTGCATACACCTGTGGACCCCTAAGTCGTATGTGCTGTGCAACTTTAGGACTTGTAAATATTCCCATGCACAGATCTTCT